CTGGGATCACTAGTGGTTACTACTGCTAGTGATGCTAAGAGCACTACATACAAGAAGAATAGATACTAACAGTAACTATGTATGATGAATTACATACCATTGTTAGGTTAATGACATTAAGAGGATAAGTACAATTCTCTGCTATTGAAGACTACATTGAGAAGTATTCTAAGTATAGTATTGTTAAATATGTTGTCATTGCTATAGGTTAATTGTTTGCTGTTTGACTGTACAGTACATTAACTGAAGACTATAAAAAATTACATAACATTATTGTTTATAATTTTAGCATTTTTGTTTAATACACATGCAAAGTTGTCTTTTTATTATTGATTATTATGAATTTTGATTAAAATTATTGCGAGAGCCATTAATGCAGAAGCAGGTGCAATGACTTACAAACAGAAATGATATTAAATCAAGAAAAATGATAATAAAATAAGAAACACACTTCAGCCATACATGTAGAGTACAAGTCAACAATGATTTTAATTAATTAAACCAGTGTTATAGTGTTACAGTCCTTAGTTCCTAAACCTAGTCTATAGATCTTCAGTATATGAATGAGAGATCAGTCCTTGAGATGATGAGTTCAGCCTCAGGTCCACAACCTATAATAAATAATAAGAAATGATTAGTTATTATTAATACTGACATTAAGCTGATTCCAACAAAAAAATTAATTTTGAAATATGCAGCAATTTTAAAAAATAGTAAATTTTCCGTAAAAAGCAAAAGCTAAAAGCACATAGTTTTTCCCAAAAATGGCTCAGAAACCACTTCAAAATTTTATTACATTCTCTGATACATATTGATGTCCTTATACTGTGTAGAAAGTTTGAGCTGATTTAGACTTAAATTTTTCAAGGTACGGCCATTTTAAAAATATGCCAATTTCTGAAAAAATCCCTGTACTATATAGCCCATAGTTTTTTCCGAAAAGTGGCTCAAAAATCTCCCCCATTCTTATTAAATTTTCTGATACATACATGTATTGACGTACTTATGCTATGTACAAAGTTTGAGCTGATTCCGACTAACAAGTTACGGCCATTTAAAAAAATATGCCAAATTCTGAAAAAATCCCTGTACTATAGCCCATGGCTTTTTTCCGAAAAATGGCTCAAAAATCACCACCAATTCTTATTAAATTTTCTGATACATACTGATGTACTTACATGTACGCTATGTACAAAGTTTGAGCTGAATCTGGCTTAAATTTTCAAGTTACAGCCATTTTAAAAATATGCCAAATTCTGAAAAAATCCCTGTACTATAGCCCATGGTTTTTCCCGAAAAATGGTTTAAAAATTACCTCCAATTATTGTTAAATTTTCTGATACATATTGATGTACTTATGCTATGTACAAAGTTTGAGCTGATTCCGACTTACATTTTTCAAGTTACAGCCATTAAAAAAATATGCCAAATTCTGAAAAATTCCCTGTACTATAGCCCATGGTTTTTTCCGAAAAATGGCTCAAAAATCACAACCAATTCTTATTAAATTTTCTCATACAAATTGATGTACTTATGCTATGTACAAAGTTTGAGCTGATTCTGAATTAAATTTTTCAAGTTATGACCATTTTAAAAATATGCCAATTTCTGAAAAAATCCCTGTACATGTACAGGGATTTTTACATTAATTTTTTGGCATTTTGCAATCAAAATTTTCAATAGTGAAATGTTTAGTAATACATGCATGGACAAATTTGCCAATTAAAACCTGGCCTAATGTATTTTTCAACCAAAACCATCAAAGTAAAGTACCGCTAAATCACATGACAGTGACATGATTTCAATTACCTGATTGAGTGACTCCAGAGTGAAGTACATGGCAGAGCAGGAGGTGGAGAGAGGCAGGTATTGCTGGGAGACTCTGTCAAATTCAGCCATTACAGTATCAGTCTCCTCCATCTTCCTCTGAACTTCTGCAGCCTCTTCCTTAAGAGTCTGAAGCTCAGTAATGATTCTAAAAATAGACACAACAAAGATTACATCATGTAATAATTGTTACTATATTTAGATGTAGGTGTATTGTTACTATTATTAGTGATGATTCTAAAATTAAACACATTAATGATTACATCATGTAATAGTTGTTACTATATTTAGATGTGTTGTTACTATTATTAGAATTGGGGGTACCTGTTGTTGTCTAGGATACGACCCTTGACCTCGTTCAATGCAGTGAGGAGACTCTTCTCAAGGTGACACAAACAAGGGAGGAACTCACCTAATGAATAATTAATGATTTAAATTATTAATAAAAGATAACTAATGTATCTTTAATTATTAAAATACTTCACCTTTTTCTCAACAGTTGATAAATCATTCTTGATAACACTAGCATCAGATACAACCATTGCATATTCTTCTTTATATCTAAGTAAAGAAAAAAAATAAAAAAATAAGTTTCACTTTTAATGTATTGTGTTTTGTTCTTTACTTTGCTATAGAGGCTTCAAGTTCATCAGCAACATCACCAGCAACATTACATCAGCATCAAGTTTATCTGAGACACAGTAGCTCCCTGAAGAACTGATCCATTAAAGACAGCTGCATTGTATGATACTCCATACCCTGTCAATCCCTAGTATTTTTAATGGATCCCATTCTTCAGATTCACCAACTGGCTCTTGTCACTGCCCAATAAATCAACCAAAACAAGAACAACCAGCACACCAATAATACTAAATAACAAACAAACAAACAAACAAACAAGAGACTAACTTATAATTATAGACAATCATTACTGTACATGATCAATACTAATGCAATACCACATAGTGGAAAATTTTCATGGCCCAAAATTTCACAAATCATTTCAAAAAATCAAATTCATCGCTTTAATTTTTGCAATTTTCTACTTTTCGGCCATTTTGAACCGAATTGAATCATATTTCGCAGATTTTATTGTCTGTGAATTTTGAAAAAAAGCAAAATCCACACAACTTTTGGGTCACAATTTTTTGCTATACGGTAATTGAGATAAATGACATCATTAATAATTACCATATTATTTTTAATAGTTTATCTATAGTCCATCCCTTCTCCACTTTATTTCTTTTCTGACAACATGGCCCACACTGGCACTCACTCCCCTCTGTCATCTCCTAACAATGACAATAATATTCTAATTAAAGCTCACAATACAGTATTAATTCAATTCACTTTTCCTACTCTTAGACCAAAGGAAGTAAGTTATAACTAGTAGGAATATCCCGTAGAGAAGGACTATGAAATAAGGAAAAGTACCAGTTCCCTCGTCAAACTCTATCTGAGCCATCAAGAGTCAATGGGTGTGTCAATAGTGAATGTCTGTTGTCTGAATGACACTTAGGACACGTGTATACACGTGGTTGCCCCTATAATGATTATTGTTAGACACGCCCTATCACTTTTAGAAAGCTAAGACGCACTGCTGATCAAGCTCTGTTGCTGCTCCTGCTAAGGCTAACTGTTTTGTTTGTCACTTTTCAATAAACGTCTTGATAGTGCACTAACCATGGCTACTCGTAGAACTCCAGTAAGTATATGTAGTATCAGTAGAGGATATGATTAATGTATTGTAGAGTACATTGTGTCAGTGTTAGTGAAGATAATGTAATGCGTACTGTTGATGAGTGTTTGATCTGGAGCGGGATCATACCCTCAGCCTATACAGTCTCTCCTTTATATAATACCCACTATACACTGCCGTATAGCCAGTAATTTTTGTGGGTTGCAAATTTTGCGGATTCCTTCTGAATAAAGTCCTTAAAAATCAATTTAATACAGTACCTGCATGACACATGTGGTAGAATTCATAAAATTTAAATCCGAGAAATGAAATTTTAGGAGATTTCGCAAATACATAAAGGACCCATGAAAATTACTGGCATGTTATTATCATTTGTGGGGAAGGTATAAGGTCAGGGGGATACAGGGAAAGGGAGGAGTCCCACCTTTACTGTATAAGTTAC